AATCTCTCTCTCTCTCTCTCTCTCTCTCTCTCTCTCTCTCTCTCTCCCTCTCCTCTCCCTCTCCCTCTCCCTCTCCCTCCCTCTCCCTCTCCCTCTCCCTCTCCCTCTCCCTCTCCCTCTCCCTCTCCCTCTCTTCCCCACCCTCCCTTCCGTTCCTCACTCCCTGAGTGATCTTAGTTGTTCCCACATCTATACCAGTGACTTCCAAATAAGGATCACCAGCTCTTACTATGCAATGGTGTCCACCATGTCCTCAAATAACTTTCAAAATTCTTTCCCCCTAATTCATTCCTGGACCAGACTTTCAATTGCTACTAAAATCACTACCTTACAGCAACATTGTTAAAAATACAGTGGGGGAAATTCACTTCCTTTTCTTTCTCTCAATTACATCTTCTTCTTTTGAACTTTATAATATGAATTTTGGTACACGTGTACATATGTGAGTTTGTGTGTGTGTGTGTATTTAAAATGTGTCATATCTCCTTATGAAAGAGATGTGGCAAAAATTAAACAGTCAATTCAGTTCTCACATTATCATTCTCCTGGTCTCCTTGTTTCAATCAATTGCCATTGATATAGATACTGTGTTTGAGATATTGCTCATGCTTATCTCCTTTCTTCATTCCTATCTTTGGTCTTTAGTTCAAATTCTTATCCCTCTTACATAGAAAACATACCAGCTGGTGTCCTTACTGATAGCTCGCTCTCCCTCGCTCTCTCTCTCTCTCTCTCTCTCTCTCTCTCTCTCTCTCTTAAGTCCACCACATAACACAATATCAAATTAATTCCCTGAAAGGGGAATAATGATCAGGTCATTCTAAGTTCAAATGTTTAGTGGGTCCATGTTCACCACTGAACTGGTTATTAAATTTCTTTAGTATTCAAAGCTTTTCACAATATGGTCCCAACCCCAACAGTTTATCTTCCACTAGTCTCTTCCATATATACTTGCTCTTACCCAAAAGGATGTTCACAGTTCCCTGAATGTGCTCTGAGCTCTTCTGACTCAACTTCCTACTTAGTTGTTCAACCTAAAATACTTGCCTTGGATATCTTGCACTCTCCAAGAGTCCTTCCATATTCCAATGGCCATCTCAGTTTATTTCAAAGGCTGCCTGTTTCCTATAGGGTATGAACCAAACACAAAATGGAATATCAGACCCTCAGTCATCCAATCTAGATATGCATCCCAAAACATGTTTCTCATCATTCACTCACAGGCAGTATTACTCTTAGATCCCAACATGAAGGAACCCTGCCTTGTCCCCAAATATTAGAGCTATTTTGAGACATTTCCTACTGCACCATATGCCATGGGCCAAAGAATCTATGAGGCCAAAGGAATCTGCTCGCTCAAAGCCATTGCTAACCAGCCCTTTTAGACCACCTTGCCAGTAATAGTATCCTGCAATTCCTTGTCCTAAAGGCTCCAGCTCACTCCTTAAGCCTACAGAGCCTCTTTCCCAGATCACCCTTTTAAGAGTGAATCATGGTGTTGATATTCTCACACCTAGACCTAGGTTGGCCAAGGGTTGGCTGTTTACAGGGGTGTGAACAGAGCTCATCCTTGCTAGCTGGCATGTCCTGGCCTATGCAGCCCTGTGTCAGGGTTGGAAATAGTTCTCCTCATACCACTGCATTCCAGCCCAGAACTGTAAGGATCCCAAGGATTCTGCTTTCCAGGGCATTTTAAACGTATCTTTGTTAATGGGGAGAACAGAATATATTTTATTAATTTGCTGTATTGTTCATTAACTTTTAAATATTTTTAGCACATATAGATTCATGGGCCTCCTTTGTTGTTGTTTCTTGCTTTGTTTTGTTTGTTTTTCTGCTGGGGATTAAAACCTAGGGGTGTTTAACCACTGAGCCACATATATAGCCCCTTTTTCATTTTTATTTCTAATTTTATTTTGAGACAGGGTCTCACTAAGTTGCTTAGTCCCTCTCTAAGTTGTGAAGCTGGCTTTGAACTTGCAACCCTCCTGTTTCACCCTCCCAAGTCAGTGGGATTATAGGCCTGTGCCACCTGGCCCAGCTCCATTTGTTATTCTTGCACTAAGCTCAGCCAGTGTCAAACACATGCTCACTCCTAGGAAGACTGCTCTTAACTACACCACATATTTACAGTTTTTTAATATCTGGTCTCTTATCTCTCTCAATAACTGTGCATATGGTATTCCCCTCTGTCTACAAGCCCTGAGCATTTCCTTGTATTTCTGAAGCATCCTTCAAGAAAATAAAAGGCAAAAATTACCACCATTGTCACTAATTTTTTAACATTGCTCTGGAAGTACTAGCTAATATAAGCAGAGAAGAGAAAGGAATGAAAGATACTACTATTTAGAAATGAGCAAAGAAATTCAACATCTTTTTCATATTATAGGAATATGTATTTTAAAACCCAAGATAATCAACTAAAGAAACAATTTTAAATGATAAGAAACTATATAAGAAAGATAGCTATAAATTTTATTTATAAAAATTAATAGCTTTCCTTTTTTAGTTTTTTTTTCTTTTCTTTTTTTTTATAATTTTAGGTGGACACAATATCTTTATTTATTTTTTATGTGGTGCTGAGGATCAAACCCAGTGCCTGGCGCATGCCAGGCCAGCGCACTACCACTTGAGCCACATCCCCAGCCCCCAAATTAATAGCTTTTCTATATGTAATCAATACTTAAACCACAACATGAAAGATAAAATAAGACTTCATCAGTAGTGACAGAAAGATAAAATATCTATGAATACACTTTAAAGAAATACATATGGTATATATCTAAAAAGTTTAAAGAAAACTTTAAAACTGTTTAAGAAAATTAAAAAATATATACCTTACTTATAGGAAAGAAAATTATTTTTTGTTATAATGATGTTAATCCTTCCAGAATTAATATCTCAAGTCAATTAGATTGCATTTAAAATGCAAATGGTATAGAATTTCATAAAATAATGCTAAAATTAATATGGAAAATTATACATATGAGAATATCCCATAACATATTAAAATCACATATTAAAAGGGATCAAACCTGTTGGTGGGCAATTTAAGTTCATTCAGTTTAGGTCTCCAAGCAGGCATATCAGAAACTCTGATCATAACTCTGAACATAACTACTGTATTCAAAGTTTGGTCATTGTTCTAGATGACACTGCAAAATAATTGACTCAAGTACTTAAGGATGTTTTAGTATACAATAAGGCTAGAATTTTAAATCAAAAGAATTGGCAGGAAAATTATTTTACCAATAAGTTGCATTAGGACACTTGACTAGCAATTTGGAGAAATAAATATGAAGAGTTGATTACCTCATTGGTTACATCAAAATTGAATTCCAATGAATCTAGTGATGTAGGACATACTCGGGAGATTGAATATGGATGGTGATTCAAATCTAAAATGAAACAAGAAATAATTTTTTTAATAATATGAAATTGAAAAATGTTTATCTACTGTGTCATGAAAATCAGAACTCAAAAAGGAAAACATTTGACATCAAACCATTTAAAATTTCCTGCCTAGCACAAAGAAAAACTGCCATACCAACATTAAAGTTCAAGTGAAAAACTGAAAAATAATTGTAATATGCAAATCAAAGAGCTGATTTAACTTGTCAATCACCATCAAAAGAAAAAAATGAATGTGTACATTTTGACCCATACTCTACTTTCAAAAGTTATCCTCTATTCATATACATACATGTGGATGTTTATTCCAGCTTTATTTGAAAGAGAAAAAAACTAACAAAAATTATAAACATTTAAATGTCCAATAAGAAGAATACATTATTAAGTTTTGATACAGCTACAAAAGAAATAACATGGATTTGGAAATACTTCAAAGTGTAAAAAGAAACAAGGTACAAAATTATATGATCTCATTTATGTAGGAAAAATGTGTGTGTGCATGTGTGTGTGTATCAAATCTTTTAGGATATAGAAGGAACTGTTCACCATTAAGCAATTATATTGGAGGTAGTATGGAGAACACTGGGGGAGGGGTTGTTTTGTTTTCAGGGTTTTTTTTTCCTTTTATTTATATCCCTCTGTACTATATGAAATTTTTACCAAGTGACCATATTGCATTTTAATTTAAAATATTTAGCCTAATAGTGAACATAATTCAGTGTTGTCTCTTTAAAGACTTTTGATCCTACACACACACACACACACACACACACATGCACGCACAACATCCTTCCAGTAGACAAGTGGAATTAGGGGATTTCTCTCTTCATAGTACTATCCACACTGAATTGCAACTAGTTATTTATATATGTATTTTTCCTACTAGCCTGTGAACTCATTAAAGACAGACGTGTTTTATTCATTTTTGTGTCATCTTCATTTAGGATAGCATCTGGAACATTATAGATGGGCAATATGTTTGGTAAGTGGACAAGAATTGAATGACGCTTTTTCTATTTACACCATCCCCATTCAATCTCTCCCTCCTAAGTTCTACATCACTCTGTACATCTCTAGTCATACCCAGGTTGCTTTTCTTTAAGGAATAAGACTCCATGAGAACAAAGACAATGTAGTATTCGATCTCCACCCAACACCAAGCATGCTATCCTGTCCCAAGTGGGACCCAGAGATACACATTTATTGAAAGGAACTGCAAGTATTTACACTGTTAACATGAAAATAGACCCTGGAGCTGGGGTTGTGGCTCGCCTTGCACATGGGAGACCATGGGTTCAATCCTCAGCACCACATAAAAATAAATAAGTGAAATAAAGATATTGTGTCCAACTACAACTAAAAAATAAAAGATTTAAAAAAAAAGAAAATAGACCCCCCTGTTCCATGAACAAATGAGCTCAAACATTCTAAATGTGTTTTAGCAAAATAAAGTCCCATGACTAGGGACAACCTTTAATTCTTAGAAATGTAAGGCCAAATTTTTATCATCTGATACTGGAACAAAGACAAAAGGAGCTTTTGTTTTTAAGTGTCTAATTATTATTTTTTTATTCTTTTCCATAGTAGGCAAGAAAACAAAATGGCAAGAAGCAATCGAACCACAGTGACAGAATTTGTCCTCATGGGATTCACAGACCATCCAGAGCTTCAGCTCCCCCTCTTTGTGATGTTCCTGGTAATCTATCTCATCACCCTAGTGGGAAACCTTGGCCTGATCCTGCTCATCAAGGCGGATTCACGCCTCCACACCCCCATGTACTATTTTCTCAGTCACCTGGCATTCATTGATCTTTGTTATTCGTCTTCCATTGGACCCAAGATGCTGCAGAATTTATTGGTGAAGAAAAAAACTATTTCCTTTTCTGGCTGTTTTGCTCAGCTGTACTTCTCTAGTGCTTTTGCAACTACCGAATGCTTCCTTTTGGCTACAATGGCCTATGACCGCTACATGGCCATCTGCAACCCTCTGATTTACACAGCCATTATGACACAGCGGGTCTGCAAGGAGTTGGTGATAGGAGTCTACACCTATGGCTTCCTGAACTCTGTGATACAAACCGTCCTGACTTTCCAGTTGTCTTTCTGCGACTCCAATATGATCCTCTACTTCTACTGTGCTGACCCTCCTCTTCTTGCCCTTTCCTGCTCTGATACCCACAACAAAGAGAAGCAGCTCCTGATCTTCTCTGCAGTGAATCTCATTGGATCCCTCCTGATGGTCCTCATCTCCTATATCTGCATCCTCTTCTCTATTTTAAAAATCCAGTCTTCCGAGGGCAAGTGCAAAGCATTTTCCACCTGCGCCTCCCACCTCACTGTGGTCACCATCTTTTACGGGACATTATTTTTCATGTACCTGCAGCAACCGAAAGCAGAGAATTCGTGGAAATACAACAAAGTGATCTCTGTGTTTTGTAGTCTTGTGATTCCCATGCTTAACCCTCTGATCTACAGCCTGAGGAACACAGAAGTAAAAAACACCCTGAAAAAAATGCTAGAGGGCAAAGAATCATAATGAGCAAGTCATCAGAATGTGGTGTTATGCAAGTGTGATATACTGACTCGGTATAACCAATGTGATCGAAAATTAATCCAATCAATCATCATGAACTAATCAGGATTAATTTACAAGCTATAATATCAATAATTGTCTGTCTTTCATCTATTGAAAATGAAGTGGCTACTACTAATTTGACAACAATATAAACTCTCATTTTTTAAAAAGAAATCCTCAAAAGCAACATTCTGGGTGACTATACATTAATAAACATAGGTATAAAACCCTTACAATTAAAAAAAATGCTATTAGAAACATTTTCCAGCTTAAAGCAGGTTATATTGTACCAAGTCATTTGTTAGTCTTAAAAACATTTATTCATAATACATCGCTACAGGTAGTGGTTACATTTCAAGACCAGTTCACAAAAAGTGTATTTAATCCAAATATAGTTGAAAATTGCATGCTTTAAGTAAACAAAAATAATATTGTAGCCATAATAAGTGAAGAAAAGAAAAACTGTAGTTTAGTTATATGTGGGGTTCGTTTAAAAAAGAAAGTTTAATTAGTAGAGGTAAAGAGAGGGTTTAGGGTAATTTCAAAGATATTAAAGGAAGTCATTTATTCAACAGCCAGGGTTTAATTTTTCTAGTCTCTGCAAAGTACAGCTAAAGTTTGTTTTTTCTTTTCTTTTGTGGACAGTGGGGGAAAGTAAGGTGAAAAAGAAAGGAAAAGAGGAAAATTTCCTGAGGTAGCCGGGTCAGGGTGTCCATATCTGAGAAATAAAATTGTCTTAAATAATTTGAATGACCTAGAGAAATGCATTAGTTTGCAGCACTTTCTGTATTCTTTTTTTCTGTTTCCATAGGTCTCATATTCCAATTTCTTGGAAATAAACCTATACAAGTTCTTGTTGCTTATGAGAATAGGTGAAAAAACAAATTTTCTTTAATTTTGTTTTTATTTAGGCAAGAATATGAACACTCCATGGTTTTTCTGTCTCATTGCAACAGTCCTTTCCAAATAACTCTTAAGATACACAAATTGCCACAAACCATCAATTGTTTCCCCTAAGCTGTTTTCAGAGGTGATTATTATTATGTGATTTTATAAATGATTAAGAAAATATTTCACCAATTGATTCCAATTAAGTTTAAAATTAATCAAGAAACTAATTCTGTTTTCCCCAAGTTAACCCTTCAGATGATAAGATGGGAACTCTGTTTTATTGTTGCTTGTGATTGAGTAATTTAGGAGAATAAAAATATTTAAATATTTAAAATTGTTTTTATTTAATTCAGAAAGATTCTCTGAAGAATGGGTTACAAGTTGTATTCCTAGTCATGTGGAGATGAAGTGTTAGTGCTAGTTAAAAAGAAAAATACCGGGCTGAGGTTGTGACTCATTGGTAGACAGCTTGCCTAGCACGTGTGAGGCACTCGGTTCAATCCTCAGCACCACATAAAAAATAAATAAATAAAGTTATGTCCTTCTGTAACTAAAAGTATCTAGGAAAAAAACAGAAAAATACTAGCAGGATAAAGGAACAGAGTGAGTAAAGGTTTAAACCTTTACTAGTACTAACATTTCATCTCCATAGGGCAGGAGAGGTTGCAGAGGGAATGAGCAAGAGAGAATAATCAAAGTGGATCAGGAATGCTGAAGGATAAGAGCCTGGGTGCTAGTCCATGAGTTTCTCGAGGCCAAGTAGGTTGTCTTCTGCACTTTGTACCCCAGCACCTACCACAGTTCCTGGCACAGAATGGACACAACATAGCTGTTTGCTGAGTTGGATTTAACTCATCTGTATTTATTCCTGACCCCACTGGATGGGTGGACATGGCGCCCAATGATGATTGCTGGTTCTGTGATGGGAAAGTGGTAGAGAAAATGGAATTACTGGAGTTAAGATAGGAAGTCTGTTTTCTAATATGCCCCCACCAAGTCTATTATCTATAAGGCAGGAAGACACAAAAAGGAAACAATACAATCTGACCAGGGAAAGTGATGCATTTGGGAAGTTGATAATTAAGAAAATGGTAGGAGCTGGATATGTTAATGGACCGCAACAGACAAAGGACTTTTGCTATAGGAAAACGTGACTAATGGAGATAAAGAAGATGAGCTGGTACCAACACTTAGATGGAAAATTGTGATTTTAATCAAAAGCTACATTTATTTCTTAATTTTTCTCTCAAATTCTTTCTGAGTCAGTTTAATTTAAAGAGAGAAAAAAACTCTACTATGTATCACATTTTAATACATGCCTCTCAGCAAATTAATTATATTCATGATTTCAAAAGAATATTGATATAAAGTTTTCAATGCTTTGTTTTTCCCCACCCCAGAGAAAACTGAAGAAGATAAGTCATGAAACCTGTCCATGAGATTTTCCAGTTGTTGAATTTGTATACTTTGCTCAACATACTTCCTTGATTCTCCTGGAAAACAAAGCATAAAGTATTAACAAATTGTGAAGTGTATAAATCCATATTTTCCTAAATTTCCCCAAAGACCTTAAGAGCAAAAGAATAAAGTATGGGGAAGGATGTGAATCAGCTTACTTTTGAGCTTCTTTCTCTTTTCTCATTGAGACTCCTTGCCTTACAAATTTATCTCCCTGGCTCTAGCCTTATAAAGAAAGTTCTTAGGTCAAGAATTCTCCAATAATCTACATTTTCCAAGTATGTAGAGTATTACATATATACATTATATTAAAATGATAATATTTAAGCCATAAAAGAAAACAACATGATTATGTACCTTTGTCTGCTTATAATGGAGGCTGTTTGACTCAATACACGTAACAGTTATACTAATTCCTAAACCCTAAATATTTTCTGAATATGTAAATGTTACCAAAATAGTGGAAGATTTACTGAATTTTAAGAATGCAATATTTCACTGACAGTGAAAATAAACTTGCTATCATATATAAATAAAGTGTAAATTCTCTTTCCTCATAGTGATCCTAAATATGAATTTTATTTACCAGTTTTCACCACATAGGTACTTTTCACTAACAAATCTAATATGTAACTGAAATATATGACATATTCATATATATAAACTGATTTGTCCACAAAATGCTGAATTTTTCAATCAGTGTAAATTTAAATTTCTTATTTCTCCCCTATGACTACTCTGTTGATCTGTCGTGACTAGAAACCATGCCAAAAGGATTTTGTTATTATGTTGATCGTAAAAAGGAAACATGAAAGGACCAAGAACTTTTCCATTTTCCTTCACGTTATTAGATATGTAAGTATTTGAAAAACTTAGGCATTTAAAAATCTTAAATGTAAGCCCTACATTTTCAACTCTGCCCAGGATGTTCTGGCATTCTTCGATGAGAAGGTAAAAAAGGAAAGTGTTAATCCCATGCTTTAAGAGTGGCTCTGCCTGCAATTAAGTAATACGTCCACCAGAGATGAGAAGACACTGATGTCAGAGTTTAAGCTCCTGGGAAAGTAACAGGTATAACCTACTCTGCCATCCAGGTTGCTATGAAAATATAAACATTTTATACATAACCAGAATTTGCACCTCTGACAAGACAGGGCAGACTGAGATCATTATTTTTAAAAGCCAAATGGAAGCAGCTTGACCATCCTGACAGTTTCCAGAAGGTTTTATTCTGTGGTCTGAAAAATAAATGTTTTATCCCCGGAAGCTGCTTTTCTTGTGTGAAGGCATTGACCACTCTGGCACTAGGACACCTAACAACCAACAGCTTGGTTCTTACTATGGTGATAACTTTTGCTGACTTCATTAGATGTGGTATGAAGAGAAGGGATGGACCCACAAGGCTCAAGCACTCTCCAGCTCACCTCAGCTAGGGATGCTACCAACTTTGGCAGGAGTAGGGAGAGCTCCTGGATCCATCTCTGGGTTTTCCAAAGAAAAAAATTTTTAATCCCATTTTGTGGTCTTTTCTCTTAGAACCACTTTCAACTTTCTTTATCCCTATATCCTATTTCATATGAAACCTATCATAAATCATTTTTTTACTTCTCTCACCATTTGCCTTAGTGAAACTAGCAATTAGCTTTCCGTAGAAATCTTTTAGATGCAGAGTTTAAATTAGTCAATTATAATAAAGCAGCTAAAAAAAGGAAAGGAATCTGATCAATATTATTTGTATGGCGGAGTAGTCATTTTATGAAGAAAGTATACCTTTTAAAATTTCTGGATTATCTTTTCTTTTTAGAGTTACCACACAAATGGATCCAAAAGTGACCGCAGGTGCAAAATGGCAATTCTATCAGTTCTAGCCTAGGAATACAGTTCTCCTCTCTGATTTAATTAATTGTCAAAATACTATGTCGTAAGCTTTTATCCCCTGGCTTACTTATATTTCCTTGTATATAAAATTAAATTTATCAAAAAGGCTATGCCCATGTGATCAAATCTATAACTGACTCTTGACAGTGCCTATAAATCTACATTTAGGGAAGTGTAAGAGACCATTAGTAGATACTTGCAGGCCAAGCAAGCAAAATAAATGATGCTGGCCTAAAAATGTGAATGGTCCAGGAAGTGGATATTTTGCTTACCAAAGAAAAGTGGTGGGGGGCTTGGTGAAGCAGGCCTCTGAAAGTACATGTGGGAGAAAGGAGATTGGATAGGGAAATTCAAGGTCAGAGGTTGAGTCCTGGATTTGCTCTGAACTGCACCATCAGTTAAGAGGCTTGTCCCATCTGAGCTTTACCTTCTTCATCTAGAAAGTGAAGAAAATAGTATCTCACAGTTACCATAAGGACAAATAGTATAGAGGATGCTAAACTATAATGCAGACATTATAAATGTACAAAGCTTTCACTTTAATAACCAGACTCTACCAATTCTGACTACTGTTCAACTTTTACAATCTTTGATTCAGAGCTACTATTTGTACTATTTGGAAAAATTTGCCTGAAAAAAATTAATATTTATTTTTTAGTTATAGGTGGATACAATATTTTATTTTATGTGGTGCTGAGAATCGAACCTAGTGACTCACACATGGTAGGCGAGCG